ACTCTAGCACAAGAATTAAAAAAAACTCACTTTTTCTAAGGGTACAGGCAGGCTCATGATTGTTCAAGCAAACTTTTCAGTAAAGAAATGAAAGTATTAACTATTTTATTGGGGATCACCAGTAAACTAAAATATAATAACAAGCATGCAAATACTGTTTGAGTTTAAAAAGCACTGTCATATATGTCATGTACCGAATATAAATGCTGTGACATTGATGCTAACATGGGATTTATTACATACTAGAGGCCTGGTGCACACATTTGTGCATGGGTGGGGTCCCTTGGCCTGGCCGGCAATCAGGGAAATCGGGACCATCTCACTCAGTCTCAATTGAGGTTGATCAGGGCTAGTCGGTAGGGGAGGGACCGAGGGAGGGCTCCACAGTGTCTCTGGCCCTCTTGCCCAATCCTGATTGGCCAGACCTCAGCAGCAAGCTAACCTACCGATCGGAGTGTCTACCCCCTAGTGGTCAGTGTGCACCATAGTGACTGGTTGACCAATAAACCAGAAGGTCAACTGGTCAGTCGGACACTTGGCATAGTACGCTTTTATTATATGGGATTCAAAAACAATGGCAACAACAACCCCCTCCCATAAAACAAACAAAATAAGTGAATAAAACCCTGAGGCACAGGACTAATAAATGACTAAAGTGGTACATTCAGTGTTATGAGATATAAATCTTTGCACTACATTATTCAGATTAAGGTTAAATATCTGTAAACTGAAAAATTCTATAGAGAGATCTTTACATGCCCATTCAGTTTGAGTCTTATTTTTTCTTTAATTATTTTCTAGTTAATCATAAGTAAATTATGTGTGTCTATTAAAATAACAGTGTGGATAAAGTCATAGATTTTTTTTTTTTGCAAATGATCAAAAAAGTATTAGCTCAAATTCTATAAATTTTCAGATATCCTAATATGACCTATAAAAATGCCAATTTCAACTGAAGAACAAAATTAATAATTCTTTTCCAAATGCATTACATGATAACTGTTAGAATGCTTTAGTTACAACCAATATTAAATTAGTTTTTATTACCAAATCTAATACCCATTAGGTGGAAATTACCAATCAGGAAGATATAATTCAAAAAGAAATAATTCTTACTTTGAACAATTGAATATATATTATGAATATGTGTTTGTATAGTTATGATAAAGGCAATTGTGTATTTGCAAAGATAATATATATTTTGAAAAAGAACAGTTCTCAGTTGGCCCACAAAGTCAAAACAATTTTATTTATTTATTGTCTTATAGATTTTATTGATTTTTTTACAGAGAGGAAGGGAGAGGGATAGAGAGCTAGAAACATCAATGAGAGAGAAACATCAATCAGCTACTTCCTGCACACACCCCACTGGGGATGTGCCTGCAACCAAGGTACATGCCCTTGGCTAGAATCGAACCCTGACCCCTCAAATCCACAGGCTGACGTTTTATCTACTGAGCCAAACCAGTTAGGGCAGTCAATATGATTTTAATAATAATACTAAGGTATTACTTGCAGTTTTCACTGTCACTTCTCAGAATGTACAAGGAGTCTTCCGGAGACTACATGGGGTGTGATATTACAGTAGATTGAATAGCGAAACAGACATTAAGAATACCTTCTATTAGGCCAGACATTAATGCAACATATAAAACTATATATAATGCTAATCTTCTTACCATTTGATTTTTACTTTGGAAAATATATATTATTTTCAAATATGTTACTTATATATATATTAACATATAACAATTTTTTTAGTGAATTCATGAATAGATCTTAAGGTTATCAGTTTTAGATTCAATACAGTAAATATTGTTATAACCCACATCAACAAAAGATCTTCGCAGTTTACCATAAATTTTAAGGGTGTAAGATACACTTGAAACCTATGTACTCTATTAACCAATGTCAACCCAATAAATTTAATATAAAAATTAAATTAAAAATTTTTAGAGAGGAATATAAGGTCCATAGGATCAAAAAGTTTTGGAGCCATTGATAAAGAAACAAGAAAATATTATTTATTCAGTCTTAAACTATCCCCATACTTTTACAAATCCCAATGGTAAAGATCTTTATGGTCCTGGTAATATATAAGAAGTCGTTTAAAACAGATCTAAATACCCTTAAAGCATTTCATTCATAACATAAAAAAAGACTGAGCTCCTTAGATATTGCTCTATTTTCAAAATACATTTATAACTCAACCAAAATAAATAATTCATACCTCACCAAGTGAGTAATAACGTCTTGGAATCTGGGAGTCCGGATAGATGTTTTCAAGGTACCAAGAAAAGGGCTTACACTTCAGATTTTCTCTCAGTGTTTTTCTGACTGACACATCTCCATAATCCACTTTGACAACACCTGGAATTTTTCAGAAAAACATAAATCAGTTTGTGCTATTTTGGTTTTAGCGCTGTTTCACTCTGTTTAATTTTGATCAGTCTTTTTTCTGTAATTATAATTCCATCAAATTCAATTGCATATGCAGCTGCTATTACACTGATTTTCTTACTAACATCTAATTAGTACATTAAATTGACATAAAAATAGTTTTCCCATTGGTTATGACTTTTCAGATGCAAATATTTATCACCAAGTACTTGTACTTCTTAGATTGAATAATTAATCAACTAATTGCTATTAATTTAGCATCTTATAATCAAAGCTTAACTGAGGTGTTATTTCTTTAATAAAAATTTCAATAGCCAATGCCTTT